TGGAATTCCAGGCTAGTTCGGCAAGGGTGGAAACTGGACTATTAGAGTCAGGTTACGCCCTTGCCTCGGGAAGACGAATGTTGGGCGGCATTGATCATGATCTCGCTTCCAACCATACCACTGAACGATGGCACATGCGAGGAATGCCGGGGAAAAAACACGATCTGTTCTTGTTGCATATCAAGGCACCAGTTCCTCAGTCATAAACGTTGTGTCTGTGCCTTGTATATCAACAATTAACGTCTATGTGTTATTTCTACAACATAATACATACATGCTATACCTATTGGCCTATAACATGTGTGTAATTACCTAACTGCGTGAGTCGGTTTATTAACATCTGTAAAACACTTTACTCCAGGTTAGTGTGGCAGATTGAAATTAACCATGGAGTGAGCAGGGATTGTAGATTCCCCTGTAAATTTGTCCGACACTGTAACTAGACATAACTTGCCCTTAGGCGAAATACAGTGACTGTCTATATTGAAGAGTAACCGGGCGCCCCAAGAGATATCACTAAAAGTATTAGTCTCTGCGTTTATAATGAGATACAGTTACAAGCAATTACGATTATTAACATCAGGTACGTGTATTCAGGAACTATTAAAAAATGTAGACACTTGTTTATCTCTCTTCCTGAGCATATTTCTGCATGTTGAAAAATTGGATTTGAACAAAACATTACAAACGTTATAAAAAAGTTCATAGGCTGAAAATAGTCGCAAACTTGAGGTCCAAATCACAACTCTAGTATCTGAATCAAATACATCACCGTGGAATTACCAATTATTGTTTGTTTTATTTTCAGCCACCATAAACATGGGTGTACACTATAGGGGTCCATCACACAATATGCCCCGAGCGATCGGTTGACAAGGAATTTATCTCACCCACATTCATTCATACAGACCCGGAACATATCACCGTAGTTTTACCGATAAAAACGCTTTGATTCGGCCATTTTGACCGAATTACTCCCCTTTACCTACTGCATTCGGAAAAAGACCATCGGCTTCGTTTCAGTTCATCGATACGTATGCGAGATAAGCTAGTTACATACGGTGTGTTCCGATTGGTTTTCCAGCAGGGTATACGAGCGATCTACATGGAAAATAATTGCCCGCTCCTTAACCAATCTGAAGACAGCCGAACACCCTTTTGTCGAAGGGACACACTAAGGGAGGTGAGGATAACTGAAGAAAACACAACCCCGACTTCAGTATCCTTACGGAAAAACATAAACGGGTGGTTTGCTAAAGTCTCCAATTGTCACTTGAGTGTAATAATAATATGTGATCATCTTGTATATACTGCACGTAAAAACCAAGCGTCAGAACAATCAGACATAATCAATTACTACAAACTAACACTCCATATATTTAGACACACATTCAATAATTATATAGTTTATTTTCGTTTGGATCTTGTAAGGTTCAATATTGGTTTGTTTTTGCTAACTGAACTGAAAATGTCTGAGTCAGTGAATGGATATGGTACTAGTATATACCGCGTTAGGAAATATTCTAGCAATGTATCGACCTGGTACATGCATCAGATTACAGGTGCACATTGTTCTCATATTGGTCATCAAACTGAATTATAGCGTGCCAATAGCAATATTATGTTGTAACGTGAGACGGGTAGAATTCCTTTGACAATTAGTATCAAGAAGCGAATGATTGTTTCTATAATAATAAACTTACTGTAATTATTTATGACATACATTATCAAATATACACCACAAACAATACCACTCGAAATGGATTAAGTGTATTGAGGATATATTGGGCCGTTGTGGTTGAAGCGTTGTATGGTTAAATCAAAGTGTTGTAACGGACAGTAGGCTTGTAGACCAGTTTATACAAGAATGGCTCAATGGTCAACTATGTCATCACGAGAAACATATTATATTTAAGTATCAAACCAGAATTTAGGCCTGAACCCTATATTTATAAAAAATAACATACATGTGTTGCCTTTGAACAAGTTCCAAACTAGCAACCACACTCTACCTGTTGACAGGGGACGATGGATAGATTTCCTCCTTGTTGATAGGATTTTTTTCCACTTTGTAATATAACTGTAGGTGTAGTTTCATATTTGTTTGACTGTATACAGTTGGAAATAGATCGTCCTTTAAAAGAATTATTCTGTGAAGTCTAGTTACCACAAATTACATCATTTATTTTGCCCTTCTAAAGTCTCAGTGCTAAGAAATATCAGCAGATTTGTCTCTTGTATAATAAAAATATTCTAATTCTAATCTATAACATCTTACTTTTGCAAAATCCTGCGGTATCAAAATGACTCTCTTGTATCTATGTACCACTGTGAGTGGTATCTTATGGAAATAAACAATGCCAATGCCAGTGTCAAAGATTAGGAATCAACTCTTTAAGGATACTACCCCCCACATTCTCAGAAGCATTATTTAGATGGGCTGCTTTATACTGAGAGAAAACACAACGAAACCTGTGTATACAACTTAGTAGACAATATGTGAAACAAGTCTAGTGATGTGAACTACTGATATGAACTAAACGACTTAACCTACCAATGTGCAGGGCATGGGTTCACATCTGAAGTAGCGTTCATATGCCACCACATGACAATGGTATTTGCTTCATTCTGTTTGTCCCTGTTTTTTGCGAACACCTAGTGTCATCACTATTTGATAATGATCCGTAAACACGTGCTCATGATACAGTCGGAATAGTACACTAAGATTGCGTGGTGGCACATGCTACTATGTAGTGAAAAAGGTATGTCAATGTGTAACGACATTACCTGTATGCACAACGATGTACACCACAGATAACAAAATAATAAATGACATTCAAATTTTACACAAGAGGATATTTCACGGTCGATTATTCATTCAACGGTCAGTTATTCAGAAATATTTATCCAAGGAATAATGAATGCAGTGTTTATTGATTTTGACAAAACGTTTGACTCCGTAAGGCATGTTCTTATATTATATGTGCTTACGAAGAATATAATAAGAGGAAGAACTTTGAAGATCGTGTGTGAACACATACGGTAAACGAAGTGAGTACCTTAATTGTACAGTTGGAACCAGACAAGACTGAAGGACAAGCCCAACATTATTTGTGTTATTTTTGAATGAATATATAGTCTAAGTTAGGATGAAGAAATCTGAGTGCAGAGGAGTGCACTTTACTTGTGTTATTTGCCGATGATATGGTTCATGCAGCTGACGTAGTATTCAGATTACAACAACAGACTGGCCTGGGTAAATAGTGAAATATATTTGAAATGAAAGTGACGATAAAATTAAGGTCGTTGTACTTAGACGAGGAGGCGTGTTAAAGAGCACAGAGAAGGAGTGTTACCGTAGGTGCGAGTTAATGGCTGTACCTCAACATAGGTGTCTTGGTGTGTTCGTCACAGTTAAATATAATGGAGCAAAACCCATTTACATCTGTCAACAAACAAACAAGAAGAGTGTCACTTTACTGAATGAGATTCATCCGTAAATACAACCTTGATATTGAGCGGTCATTGTTTGATAGAATGGAAGTATGGCTCACGCGGATACCAGAATACTGAGATTATCGCGCAGATTCAGCAATGAAGCTGTACTAGGTAAGGTTGGATGGTTACCTCTAGCAGTTCACAAAATAAAGGGACATATCTCGTATTGGTTATTTAAACACATGACAGAAGGTAGAAACTCGAGACCATGTTACAGTATGCTTAACAACCTTGATCATGTGGACAGAAGGACATGGGCAAGCAACATAAGACAGTCATAATTCTCGCTGGGATTTGGATATGCGTGGATGTGCAGATATATTTTTCTACAAACATTCACTCAACGTCTTAAAGATCATCATCATCAGATGTGGAACTCAAATTTACAAGGAGACATTAAACATAAACTCGAACTATGCCAGCAACTTCAATCGTCGTTAGAACCGGAAAAGTATCTTCTACAAATAAAAAACTTCATATTCAAGAGACTCTTACTTAGATTAGATGCGGACACCACAACTTAAATTTTGAAAAGGGCAGTAAGTAAGGATAAGATTTACGGATGAACAACTTCTTTATAACAATTAGGAGCGATGTTTCGGTGTAGGTTCTAACAGCGTTAACAAGCAACTGTTTGAACCGTGTTAAAACCTACACCGAAACATGGCTCATTATTGCTATAAAGGAGTTGTTCATTCATAAATCTTACTGTTACCTGTACTTAAACTTTGAAATGTCCCCCAAAGAAGATGAAAAAGGAAGGTGGGAAATTATTCCAAGAGAAGAAAGACTGTGCAAATATTGCCCTTATACATGAAACATAAGCACTGTTGAAAATGGAAAACATTTTTGTTTACTTGTACAACGACAGGAATTCATCGCTCCGTTGTGTGTTAAAGATCATCTATGTTTAAAAAATCATTCGTTGTATTAACCGTTGTTATCAGTGAAGTTGAAGCTTGGAAATTGTGGGCATATCTATATTTTAGCTAAATGTTGAGGAAAGATTGGATAGAAAGACATTAAAAGTAATTGAGCACTAATCTTTGCATCTTTATCGTATACACATACAAAATGTGGATGCTGGTGCTGTTTTGATTTAATATATTATCATTGTGGCGTATTCGTACTTGTATATGCTAGAGGTGTAATGGACTGTGTGCCTTGATATGTATGTTTCATATCATGTATAGGGACATAGTTGTGACCAATACTGTCAATAATAATAACCCAATGTATTATGTGATCTATCTATCTATCTATCTATCTATCTATCTATCTATCTATACCAGGTACCATTCTTTATTATACTACACTTATCATTTTCAGATCAACGGAACCAACCCGCTATTTTTGCGGAAGAGTATATATCAGACCTGGTTACATGTTGAGTATGTAGTGTAAGTTTGTTTTCTGTAAACCTGAATGATGGATGGACGTCAAATTCACACACCTATTTTGTCAGTAGACAGGGGTGAAAAATAAATAAATTAAACATTAAACAATCTTTATTATTTATTATCCATTGTCCATCACATATGCATATTCATAACAACAATGCTATGTACAAGCATTTAAAAATTCCGGGTATTAATTATCAACATGTAACATTTTAGAAAAAGCATACCTACCAAGTTGAGCTTGACAACGACATATCGGTGAACCCAAGTAACGTCAGCATTGTTACAGCTATGTCACAGCCATTTCACATTAATGCTATTCGCGGAGACCGAGAAAAAGCAACGTAGAGTGACAGCAGAATAAGCAGGTATTTTTATGCATTATAGAGTTGAACGTTTCTAGAAAACCTGTTATTTTATGTACATTGATGACGCACTTACAAGACAACGTTCATGTCGATGTGACGAAACCCTCAATGTTTCTTTACAAGACTTCATTCCAGTCGCGTACTTTATTCAGTAAATGAATAATAAACAGATTTACTTTACAGATTGCACGAGATATCTTACGTTAACCACACAAAGCATGTGTTTGCACAGGTATTAAAATAAGTATGGTTTTCAAAAACTTTTGAGGATACGCTGACCTTTTCGCGAACACCTGCCAGCATCACTATTTGCCAGTGATTCATAACACATCGGAATCGTCAGCATTGTACCATCGATTCTGCTTTTGGCAGAGATATCTCATGAATATTGAAAGAGTTTTGTGTTTTTTATTTATAAAGGTATTAGGAACTATGGATATGTCCATTTCTGTGACGTCATACTGAACACCATAAGACGTCACACGGAACATCATATGCTGCCATCAGTCACAGAAATCAAGATGGAAATGTCTTAATTAAATGATTTAGTTTATCATATATATATAATTAAAACAAAACAAAAATACATGAGTAATTTTCTGATAAATAACTTCATAAACCGAGTAAATCATATAACATATTAATAAATAATTAACGTTAAGAATTTTAACAACAAGGATATATACAGTTAGAAATAGTGATTGTGATATAAGGCACCGTGGTCGTTGCCTCTATCAGTGCGAGGAAAATGAAACCATCCACAAAAACTGCTGTCTTGAAGACATTTAAGTAGATAGATACCCTAAAGATCAGTAGTATATTGCACCACAATCCCGACCGACTGGTTTTCTCATTTGATAAAAAATATATTGCAATAAAATATTTAAGCCCTTTATATCAAATTCAAAATGACAGTAACTACTGCAACGACGACAGTAACCAGCCTCCAGTTTGGTAGGTTGGTAGACAACCCGCTTCCTTTGGTGTCCGGGGGATCTGCAAACACAAACACACAATTACTTTACACAGAAAGACATGCGCGCTTTTCTTTGTACATGTTGTTATCTTCTGTTAAAGTATTTAGAGATGCCCATATTGAAAACTCTAATTTTGTGCAAGAGTAAAGAGGAGTGTACACCAAAGCAATGTTTACCTGTAACTGTAGCAGACACCCCCTTCGTCGAATCGCTGGTATTTGCTGAAATTAAAAACAATAGATTGTGATAATCTGGTTTAATTCAACAGTTTCATAAAATTACAAACGTTTCAACACACAATAACAGCTTCATAAGATTTCAACTTTCTCAGAATTTTATAGGAATTTTTCTCAGAATTTTTTTTATAAGACTGGGATTTTTCATTGGCCCTCCTGTATACATGAGAATACGAGCTGAGTATACAAATAAAACAATGAAAACAATAATATGAAAACAATTGAAAAGCAGTGTTGCTTTTATTCCGCCGACCAGACAACAGATTTTCTGTCAAAAAATAATTTAATATCGTTATCAATATAAATAAATTATTTAAAATACTTTTATTAAAACCTGTTGAAAAGTTATCTTAAAAACGATTTACACAACGAATTATGACGAACAGCGACAGAGCCGCATCATTAAGGGATGGGGCGGTTTCATTCCCTTTTCCTCACGTCACTGTTTCTGTTTCCTCCCTCCTACTTAACATTTAATGGAAATATAAACAATATAAAAATGAGATTGGACTTTTTATTATTCCCCCCCCCCCCCCCCAAACCGTAAAAAATATCAAATCTGATCTAACTAGATACAACATATGATCATTATTTTCACATAGTAATATACAACTGAGTATAGCAAAGTATATCTCTTCACCTTTTCCCGCCAATTTGGACTTTGCTGTTGTTTTTGAAAGATCTGAAAGTAATACATACATATTAAAAATATAAAAGACTTACATTAAGCACAAGTCTTTATGTTTATGCATATACTCTTTGATATACTGGTATATTTTCTTAGATAGAAAAAAATTGAACAAGTGAGAATTGTATCTGTGTACATAGTACAATATATCATAAATTGGTAATTTATTTCTTAATCAAATTCAAGCGAAACAGATCATACCTGGTTTTTTCTTATTTGATGCTTTGGCTGGTTCATCTGAAAGTATAACAGGAAGTAAATTAATTACGACAGCTATGATACTGTACGCTTACATGAATTTACTGTGCAAAATATTAAGATCACGAATTATTTATTCCTTGTGATATTGATATGAAATGCAATACCCCTGGTATCAGTTGATAAGTCAAGGATGAATTTTCTTGAACATTTTACCATGAATATTTTATGTGTTCTATCGATTCCGCCCGAAACATCCACTGAAGTAATAAAATATGCATATACAGCCAGAAACCTAATACCTCTCCTCGATACAGAGACGGCACTACTTTCTCTAAATACTCAAGGATCACTTTGCTTGCATACCCAAGATGAACTTAATATGAATACAGGCGAAGTCTCTGCGCTATGCCATTCAAATATCTAATACTGAAAGCCATTCATCGACACTCAGCCCCAAAATATCCATCTGATCTTTTGGAAACCTTAATCTACAAAATACGTATATTATGATGAAAATCGCAGTAAAATCTGCATAACAATGCAATGTTAAGGTATGAAATCTAATTTCTCCTTTTAAAAGTATTTTACAAGTTTTAGAAACAACCTTCACGAGAATCTGTCTTTTTATTTTAATGTATCCCTGAAGATGAAATAAAAATAGTTAAAGAATTGTATCTTTGACGGACAGATAATTACAAAGACATACGTACTGTAGCCTGGAAAGTAAATAAAAAGTACCCGGAAACAGTGTGAAATAATAGTAATGCGCAAGATTTCAAAAGTTCTCAGGGAATCAGGACCAACTTACCATGCATGGGGCGATGTTTATGCATGCTGCCTTTTTTTACGCTCATCGTGGGTACTGCCTTAGCCGCTGCGGGCTGAGGTTTGTCTGCCTTGATCTCCTTGACTTTGTCTGTTTGCATTACCTTGGATTTGGCATCAGTAGTTTGTGTGCTGGAAGCCATGTATTATATTTACTTTATTTGAATACTGTATTTTATTGTGAATATGAATCGATAATTTGGAACATATATGACTGCTAGGACTCTTAAAACCTTATACAATTACAGGCAAAATACACGTCATGGTTCAACAAGGTGAATATAGTTTAAAAAAGAGAATTATTTCTCTATTATTCAAAGCAATTATGTATCTTTGAAAGTATTTTTTTATGCTCCGTTCCTCAAAGGGATGTTTCTGCTACGATGATAGTAAGCCAAGGTTAGTGTTCGGGACTTACGATCACCTGAGCGCTAAGATCACGTTGAGGAACAGGGCCCTGACTTAAATGAATAATATAACTTGAAATAGACAAAAATAGCATATGCACCCTTTAGCCACACCAGAACTTTTGGCTTTCTCAGCGGATGCAGTAGTTTTTTTAGTTTCTGTATCATTCTTCAGCTTTGCTAATGTTTTAGTGGAGGTTGGTTCCGCCGTCGGCGTAGGTGACTGCGATGTTGCTTCTTCACCGTAGATCAGTGCCGTCACGGACAGCAACACTGAAGTGTAACGATACGCCATGAAATGTAAGATACTTTAACGGTAGTGACATTTGTTAATTAGTATTTAGGTAACATGGATGCGGGAAGTTTTTTCACAAATACCAATATTCTTAAAAGTGTCAACGCAGTGATTCATGGGTAGGTCCGAGAATGCAATAGTATTAGTTATATGCCTTGATACATATAACAAGGGCTATTGTAAGGCATTGTGAAAGCGGAAACACTTACGTACTGCCGTGATGAAAGCCCTCATTGTCACTCGGGCCTCAAATGACTGCCCACTCAACTGCAACAACAAATCATTGATATTTCAAAGGAGATTACAGTGTTTTGTGGGAATTTAGATACATATGACATTACTCTGCGATAAGCATTCGAACGCCATCTGCTAAGGCTTAACAAAAACAACATTTACACTGTAATATTATTTTCAACCCTGAAAATATAGCCAAATATTTATTTAAAATACAACATTAAGAATTTCTGAAAACTCCTTTCTAAAGGAGTACATTTGCTGAATAGTGAAATAATTTCAAATATTTAGCATTAAAACAATAAATTTAAAAACAATAATAAGAACAACTCCGTGCAAATCTTTCTCTTTGCTCGTGACCATTGTATGCAAAGCAACCCATTCAACAACATGACATGCCCTTTACGTGGGTATGATTAACACACAAAATACATGAAGCTATATCTCTGGTTCGCAGACAGTCTGCCGAAGATGCAACTACGGCCAGCGAAGGAAGATTTGTTACACCTCCTGCGCAGTCCGAAGTCACACCCGGGACAGTAAAGGTTCTTCAGAATGTCCAGTAGTGGTGCAGATGGCTTCTTGTGATACGGTTGAAACATCAAAAACATCAACACACTTTAAAAGAACATGCACGCTTATGGTGAAGACTAAGTTAACATTTAACGTCACATCGTCGCAGCCTTAGACTATGGATAACCATCATCGCTGAGGGATCTCAGAGTACAGGAACATTTTAGATTCTTTGTGTAGGGTAAAAGAATAATACAAATACAGCACACAACTATCATCATAATTTATTTGTTCTTTGACACATTTAAATTCAATGTTCTTAAAAGTTTATTCAGTCGAGAAATAGCAGAAACTGGTCACAGATTATCCTGAAATTTCCGTACACACCAAAACATACACAATTTGTACAAGTAAAGTTTACACTTTTATGAAATTTGTGAACGTATTTCGGTTCTAAACATAAAAATACAACTGTTAACATACAAAAATAAACAACGAAAACACTAAACTATGGCAACACAAATTTAAGGTAAAATACTATTTTGTTAAAAAGGGCAATTAAAGGTGTGAAACTTGTAGTATTCCTACCTCGTCAGCCGAGACGCCGCAGTTCCCTCTGTGCGGTCTTCAAGCCTTAGCTCCTGCGAAGCACCTCTTTCGAAGTGTCCCTTATTAGCAAATCTGACAACTACATCGTCTACCCCTAGATTTTACTCGGGTGGAAAGCCACGTGACTCCCTCTGAACCAATCAGCTGATGCAACGTTAACCGTAAACCCAGTCGATTAGCAACGGCTGTAACCGGAAACCTTGTAGAAGACCACAGGCAAGCTGGCATGCGTTTTCCTGGGTAGATTTATGGCCAAATGCTCGGGGTCCATGAAAAGAACAGTAGGCTTTAGGGGTCATTTGAGTCATTTGAGACAAAGGATGCACCCCGAAGTGTACATGAGCGATGAAGACTCTCTGCTTGCATATTTTATGAGGACAAATCGTGTCGAGGAGAAATGAATCTCTGTGCACGAAAAGAGAAAGAAACCAGATATTCCTTAACACAGGTGGTGATCCTGTCGATTGAAAATAACTGTTTTGCGGCATACTGAAAGTCATAAGTTTCAAATCCCCTTGCACTTTCTAATGTATTATTTACAAAGGTTATCGGGTTCAACACTGCTATTTTCTTGACGTTAATCATCTGGCTTAACAAAAACAGGTATGGAACATGCACAACCGACATACTTATAACATCTGTGCATTTAAACCATTTTTTACAAAAGCGGCATAATTCGAAAATTTACTTTTAACTTTAAACTGGTCGCTTTACTCTTTATGCAAACACAAAATATGGAATATATCGCCGGAATGTGTGTATGTTATTCTGCATTCACGTTAGAATCATTAATCTTTCAAACTATTAAACAAAACACAAATTCACGTGACGTTACTGAATGCCACTTCGATTTCAATGTCTTGCGTCAAATATATGAATTTATTTCAGAAGACGCTCTGTCTGGTTTGCCTAGTTTCGTAATGCATAACTTTGTATCCAGCAGGCGAAAGCTGGCTACACTTACAGGCTGAACATGAGTTGAATTGTATAAAGGTAGAGCATGCATGGTCACTGACTGGACAAAACAAACTGATAACAGGAGCTAATCAGGTCTCGCTACAGCCAAGCCCACTTGTGCAATGCTGCGTTATGTAGTATTCGCCCTCAGTAGATATGGGCCCGTGAAGAACAGGTCTTCAAGCGACTATGCTTGTTGTAAGAGGCGACTGACGGGATCGGGTGGTCAGGTTCGCTGATTTTGTTGATGCATGTCATCGATCCCAATTGCGTAGATCGATGCTCATGATGTCAATCACTTGTCTTGTCCAGACTCGATTATTTACAGACCACCATCATATAGCTGCAATATTGTTGAGTGCGGCGTTAAACAACAAAGAAAAGAAAAGAAATCAGTAGATATGACACGGGGGCAACTCTATAAATACGTAACGTAACCGTGCTTTGTTCGTCATCTGCACATCAAGTAATGACATTATCGATTTATGAAACATCCTCATTTTAACCATGTCCCGTTTCCGATTTCCCCGCCATTTTGCCTAGATGGTATTCCGTGACAATCTAAATGACACAGTTATGATTTCGTGTCTAAGACAGTGCATACACATGTGTTCGTAACCTGTCGATCTATTTGTGTACAGAGAGGATTGCTGTTTCCAGGTTTCCACAACTCAGAGCCTCACACACATTCCACATGTTGTCTCTTCATATTTTATTTATGGTATACTTGCTACCTGGCATCTGGAAATGAACCGATGGCAAACAACGTCAGAGTAACAAAACAAAAACATATCATGGTATCCGTTTTATCACTGGCATGATCTGACTTGTACTAGAAGCGTATATGTCTTTTGTTTATGTTATATATTTACACATTCATTTTCGAATGCTACCTCTTATTGTTCATTCGCAGAGGTACATTTAATCCATAATGACCAAAATTACCATCTTCAGATAAATAGATTCAGAATCTAGTCATAAACGTCATCAAATTTCTTAAAAAAACGATTTTTCTTTTCACTTTATGTGTTGTGGAATGTTGAACTCGACACCGCTAGTGACCTTCATTCGCGATTGACGCTAGCATAAAACACGAAATTTACAAAATCGCCAATGTTGACGCAGTTGTTATTATAATCTGTGAGTCAAGAAAATTTAATGTTTTGGTTTTATTTTTGTTGGACTCCTCTGAATATGTTTGTGCAGAGAGAGTGTGATAATGGCTCTTTGTAATTTGGTTTATTTCGCATAATAAATGTTCTCATTAGTGATGGTGTACCCGGGAGATGTTGATCTCAGTAAGCAGTCATAACCTAGATACTCCAACACTATTTCACAAAAATAGAGGATCACCCGCTTGTTTGCTTCCTTAGTGGGCGGATATATCGGAGGGCTTTCACGAGAGGTTATCAGAACAACAAAATATGTAAAGGAATGCTGCATAAATCTATGGGAACCATATAGCCCAATACCAAGTATTTATTGTTTGACGCCACACATCAGTACTCCTGACATGCGACGGCGGCCTGTAAACAAACCAAACAATCGGGTGATCGATGAACCAGAAAACTCAGTGACACGACAGTGATTTACTGATTTTGTTAAAACTACTATAAACGCCATGTTAATTTTGGATTACGTCTGCTGTGTACAGGTGCAGAGATTCTGCTGCTTACAAGTAAAGAAAAACATTGAAGAAATATATTCGCCTTGCAACACACTGGACGAATGCTCTCCCGAACAACCTGGTAGTGGCTTGTAGTGCAGTTGGTGCTTCTTATCGTAAGATTCATGTACATACCGCGAAGCCGTGTCTAGCAGACTCCATATATGGCGTTTCAGTAAAGCAGTTGCTTCATTATGACCACTACGAATGTAATATGAGTAAGAACTCAAACTATTAAAGTAAACTATTGTCAACCAATATGTTATGCATAATCTTTGGGCTTTTTTTAAATAAAAGGGATGATTCTATCGGCAGGTGTTACAAAATTTGATTCGAATAATCCAAATCTAAATCCAAATTTGAAACATCTCGGGGTAGAGCTACTCGACGTTTTATAGGTCTAAATGTTTCAAATGTTTATTTCATTTTCTTCGTACATTGAAGCAAAACAAAGAGGAAAATTGGAAAAGATATGTAGCAGAAACTACGTACGTATCAGTTACCTGGAGATAAGGCCAGTATATATTATTCACGACCTGTAAGCGCGTTATTAGGCTTGGGTGTATCACATTTCCTCCCAACTCCAGCTTCTGTGCAAATACAGTAGCAATGATGGCGAACGAGAATTTGAAACTGGCAAAGAGAATATCGAAAATAACAATTACGAAAGGTTATTCTTTTCAAACTTATAGTTATTTATGTATGAATCTCGATTTAGATATAACTTCCCCTGTTTTGAAGTATTTTTTAATGAATGATGGTATTCTAATTAAATGATAAGGTGTAGCGAATGGAGTTATGAACTTCATTAAATTTGAGTTGACCTGCTTGTATGTTTTCTGAGGTGAACAGGCTCTGTGGTTTTACTGTTATTTTGGAAATATTCTCAGCTTCACTGCGATCAGTAAAGAAACCTGCGTACAAAGGGTATGTCCTTGACACGACCCAGGAACACTAATTAATATTGTATGGTGCAGCACGTGATTCCATTGTTTTTAGAACAAAGGGCAATATGATGGTTAAAATTCTATTTCCCCAAATGTATTTGCCACATTTTGGTGTTTATCTCTTAACAGTTCAACAGATAATACATGATTGTGTTTCACCTTTCTGCATTTGAACACACCTATCTGCATATGCATACTGTTTCATTAAATCGATATATTACCTCAAACTACATGAACATAGAACAAGGATCGCAACACGCAGGATAAATGACATAATATATTGTTCTGAAACGAATTTAACTGCAGAACATATGAGTCTGGATTCTCAAACATGTATCACCCTGATATTGAACGTCTTTCTATGCAATTCAGATATAACTAATCACCTCTAAACGTGATTAATGTTATAACTTATTACCTGTTTAACTTACAACAAAGAAAGGCACGTGTATTATGGCCACGGCAAACTACATTATGTCACATATGACACCACAGAGTGAACATGAGCGACTTGTAGACAGTCAGTGGAACAATGCCCAGTGTTGCATTCAAGCATGTGTTCATAAAAACCTCAAAACACAATTTACATGTGGTCATGGATGCACGTGCACGTCATGATACAATGCCTTGTGCCATAACCCATGTGTTCATATATACCTCAAAACAGTTTACATGTGGTCATGGATGCACGTGAATGTCATGATACACGTGCATTTGGAATACTATTCCGTGGCCCAGTGAAATGTTCGTTTGTCCGAAAAAGAGAAGGTCGGTGGTTCGATCCCCCGGCCGCGTCATAACAAAAGTCATTAAGAGATGATTTCCCCAGTCTGCGGCACGGCATCAAGTGGCTAAAACAAGGATGGGTCGGCTCGGAGTCAGCATACTGTGCCTGATTGACGTGCTCTGTGGGCGGAACACTATAAAAGAGGCATATGTCAGGACTTGGAGAAGCAGCCACATGCACACACAAGCGCGAGTGCGAATTCACACATACACATTCATGTCGGTATATAAGTGAAATAATCTGGAAGATAACCCAACACCCCATTTCACCTCGAACTACAACAATGTATGAAATGTATGAAATGAAATGTGTGGATGCGACACATTTCCATATTTTATGCTGTTTTATCATTTTGCTATATTTTGTTAAATAGAGGGCCCATGCTGTTTGATATGTTAAAACCTAGTGTTCGAGGTTCTGCTACACCAAATTAGAATCAGTCGTTCAGTGCAGATTGATTAATCTGGCCGCTATGATTGGATGGTATTTTGAAAGATTTATATAATTAAAACTGACCACTTTTTCAATTCTTAGTGTTGTCTTTTTTACATGATGACTTATGCTGAATGTGACCACATCAATTTTCAAGCAGGTGACATTTGTTGCGGAACTAGAGTGTTTAGCTTTCTGGACTGGGAAAAGGAAGTGGCCAAACTTTGTGATTTTATTACAGCTTTAAGGCCAGACTGTGCATACATGTACATGTCATGGGTGTTGAACACCTAGTTATT